AAGCCCAAATCGAACTGGTTTAATTTGATTAATTAAAGAGGGGTAGTTCTGGGATTTAGATCAGCAAATAGGATAGGGAGTTATCCCTATCCACTCAGAGAGTCCATATCCAAATAATGATTTGGATTAGAAACTCCTAATAAGATTAGGAGGGTTGATCTTTATCTGTAGATAAGATAAGGGCTTATCCTTATCTCTTAAAGAGAGTCCAGATCCAAATACAGATTTGGATTAGGAAACTCCTAATGGGATTAAGAGGAGCTCTCTTTAAGGCTATAAATAGAGGATGAGGGCGAACCCTATTTCACACAAGTTGATTACAGATTCAAGAGGGAAGACAACTCCAGTAAGACTGACGCCATATTCTGCTCTTGTCTCCCTCTATTGCTGCTGCCATTGCCAGTTCATTCTCCACCAATAGGAGTGATCAAGAAGTGTTTTTGAATTCTGTTTTTGGTGAAAAACTGATCTGAAGTCGTGCTCTCACACCCTCCATCGAATTCTTGCTGAAGAGTTCGGTTCTTGCTGAAGAACCACCTGTTGATTCTGTTTCACCGTACGCTGTGTCATCTTCAGTGGGAGTAGTTTTTGGCGTTTTCCTTGGGCGTGAACACATTCGTTAGAAGTTACTGTTACTCCGTATCAAATACATCCATCTCCTACCTTTTGGTTTCAAATCTGGTCTAATTTAAGGTTCAAGATTGATCATTGAAAATGTAGTTTTCTAAAACGGGGAATGTAATTCCTACATGGGAGAGAAATTTTTGAAATTTCGCATTACCTTCCTGCAGGATTTAGCTATCCATATGATGGATCTCTCATCCCTTCACCACAAACTTGTATGCTTTAATTTCTTTGATCCTTTCGGGTTTAGTTGATTTAGGAATGACGCTGGTCCCTCTCTCCGGCCAGGGCCCATTTAACCAATATCTAGCCCAGTTTCTTTTCTATTCTATCGACTGTTGGGTCATGGATGAGGTCTCTCTCCCCTTCAGACGATCCCAACGAAGAATAAGCAGTTACATGGATGCCATTCTTCCAACATCTTTATCATTCTTCCGTCAGGATGCATCTCGATCTGACACACACTAATGGCATGGTTGGAGCAAATTAATTTAAGTAACTTTTCGAGGTTTGTAATTTCTCAATTACAAACACCAATGTCCCTGCAGACAAAATTTAATTATCTTTCACAAGCTTCTCCATCTCTCTCCAAATTCCTTTCAGGTCAAACTCCAAGACATCCCCGGCCATCCCTTTGAGGCTTCTTTGCTCCATCTTTAAGCCGAAATGGCTAGTGGTCAAAGAGAGATCAAGATAGTCCAGCTGTAGTTCCTGAAGGGTGTTCATCAACGCAGTCCTTAATTACCTACCCTAGCTCTCTGGTGACAAGTCACTGCACCATAGCTTTGATTTGGTGAAGAGATCTTTTATTTCCCACCTCTTCTTCAACTCCACATCCACATGTCTGTAACCAGACTTCCAGCGAGTACTCAAACCAACTGCTAGCGCTGTGGTATGGCCAATCTAACCTGGGCCATTTTCTTTCAGATTTCAGTTTGCTGCTTTGTTCAACTTCTGTATATGCTTAGTTTAGGGTAATGGGATGGATACTGGCTGGAGGGGCGTTTCCTCTCCGCAAGCCATGGTTTTGAATGTTTTTTGTCCACTATTTGGAATGTTTAAGGACAAAAGTGTTATTATAAAAACTTTTAAAATGAACTGCTACTGGCTCTAAACAGTGCAACGATAGAGGTCCTCTTTGTGTTAGATGGGACCGGTTAACAAGGTACATATAAATTGCTTTTAAAACTAAAAGTTCAAAGTATATATAAATACTAAATAGTTTCTCAAATATTATATATATATATATATATATATAAGTAATTAACCTTTTTTTTATTGGTATTATGCAAGGATCAAAGTATACGGATTGGTATCGGGCAAATTGGATTTGGATACGAATAAGGAAACACTTTTGAAACGCATGGATATGAACGAAAGATATAGAAATACTTGGATACATTAGAGAAATGCATACAAATCACATAAATACATTAATAATACTGAATCAAAAGCTGAATTATCTATAAGGTATAAACACATGAAAATGTATACTTCAATAGGTTACATGAAGATAAACATTACAATAAACAATACCTGAACTCTAGAACATTCAAACATCATACAATAATTATCACTCTTTCAATTTTTATAATTATAATTTTCAATTTTTATTAATTGTAAAATAAAACATATAAATCATTTAAGGTAGATGAAATAGTATATTTCTAATTTTCAGTTTTGATTATTTTTTGGGGGAAATTAAATCTTAAATTATTTCATTTCAGTTTTTATAATTATAACTTTATGTTTTTCCATTAATTTTATTGAGATTTTTTATTTAGTATTCTTATTAATAATTCTATTTTTTCAAATAATAACTGTGATTTCATTTTTAACATTTAATTATGTGTAAAATAAAATATATAAATCATTTAAGGTAGATGAAATATATTATTTTAATAATTTTTTGTTTTTATTATTTTTTTGTAAAAATTAAATCCTAAATTATTATTTCAATTTTTATAATTATATTTTTTAACTTTTATTAAAGATGAAAAACAATACAAAAGTACTCAATATACAGTTTTGTCAAACTAGACATGGATACATCTTTGTATCGATGCATAACGGGTTGTATCCATCGATATGACACCATACAACCCAATACGGAAGTGTAGCGTGCCAATACGCACAACTCATGGGATACGTATCACGTATCCATGGCCATGGATACGAGATACAATATGCCCCATATTGGGAATATCTGTATCGATACCTTAATCCTTAGTGTTAGGGCTATCAAAAAACTCCAAAAATCCAAGATCCAATTTGACATCAGACATGATTCAAAGTATCAATACACCCTTTTGTATCGAAAAATGTGCATCAATACTAAATAACATGCATTTTGTGTTTTTTTTTTAGTTTTTTTTCAAGAATTGATTTAAAGGGACATTTTTAAGTATATTTTTATCAAAAGGGGTTTATGCAACGTCTATAAATAGCTGAATTGGGACCCCAACGATAGGATACGAATACGCGGTGTATCATATTGAAATTTTGAATCATGACATCAGAACCAATTATTATTGATTTGGATTTGACCCTATTTAATCTGAATAAAATCTAAGTTTTGATTAAAATTTATTATAATTATATAATGTAATAATGTATTCATGTAGATATTCTATATAATTGTATAAGGATTATAATTAACTAGTGTAGGAAGGCATGTTAGAAATGATTTGTCATATGCACTTTGATTTAACTTTTATTAGTCCAAGATAAGTATCCCTTCTATATAATATAGGTAAATCTAATAATAAAAATATGATTAACTTTAAAAAAAATTTAAGAAAATGTTTAGCTCACAGTTGGAATTGGAATCAAAACCCTTTAGAATCAGAATCAGAATGGTCTATTCCTATAGTCTGTTTGATTCAGACTAGATTTAAAATGAGAATTAGAATCAGCCGGAATGGAATTTCATTCCCAAGAAAGGAGGAGGAAATGGTCATTCCTTGGAATACCATTCCACAAAAGAAGGGGAATGAAATTCCAATTCTGCCCAACCAACAGTTTGAATGAAATGATCCAGTCAGATTCTGATTCCAAATTCCTATTCCTGCAAATCCAACGGATCCTAACTTTTCATTTCGAATAAATCCAAATCCGATTGGAAATTGATTTAAAGTTTCCATAAATGAACCAGATTGACAGATACTATAAATCTATAATGGGGTCAACCCTATGATTCAAAGATCATGTTATGTCTCTTTTGAGTTCTTTTGATAATATATGTATTAATCATATTAATAGAATGTCAAACTCTGCTGCCAAGAAACTTTATGTATTTTTGATCTGAATGTTTAATATATTTTCTTTTGAAAAAAAAATAATAATGAGGCAACCCCGTGTAGCATAGCTTAAAAAAACTTAAGGCCCCATTCATTTTTTGGTGAATTACTTATCTGGGTATATGTAATATCTAGGTAAGTTTTTCCTTAAAAACATTTACCCAGGTAAGTACATTTATGATTTATCCATGTTCTTTTATCTCTCAGGTACATAAGATAATGACCATTTTAATTATAGAAATCCATTATTAAAGGAGACATTTCTATTCCATTCAAGTATTGGCAACTTTTATACATACCTTGAAAGATTATTTACTCACATAGGAGTATACCCAGTAAAATAAACTTTCTCTAAGTCCCCTTCTCCATATCCAAAAAAAAGAACGCCTCCTAACTAAAAACAGGCATCTCACCTATGATTCATCACGACACGCGGAACTTATCTAATCTGATAGTTGAGTTGAGCTGATGACCTGGCGAGCTTTCTTGGTTTTTTTTTTGACAGTTCTTGGAAGCCGAACAATATAATTGATGAACCAACCCAACAAAAGGCGACTTGGTTTGGGTTAGCCTTAACCAACTTTAAAAAGTGGGGCTGGATTGGATCGTTGATGTTTAGGTTAGGATTCGGGTTGAGACATTTGTCAACCCAACCAAATTTGAACCCGGCATATCTTTGTATTTGTATATATGAATAAGTATGTATTTGTACTTCTTATTGTAGCATAACTTTGCCCTTTCGCATATAAGAATACTAAAATCAGTGAATCCCTGATTCCCCCAATCTTATGTTTAAGAAATAACAATATTTTAACAAAATAAAGATATAAAACTAATCCAAGCCCAACCTAAAAAAACGTCGGGTTGGGTTAGGGTCGGTGATTTGATTTAACAAAACGGGTTGATCCACTTAACTCGATTTAAACCGGACCGGCTTGCAAGTATACGCTTCTTCTGTCTTTGCAACCCGGCCTAATGAAGCGAGGGTATATGTGTCTTTTCATGAATACACTTCTAGTTTCACTACACTAGGGATGTTTTCCAATTACAACTTCGTACGCTTCATATACTCTCCCACTCTCCCAGCCCTAGAATGACTTCAATCTCCTTTGTACGTGCCACGCGGCAGAAGTCACAAACGCGCCATGGATTTCCCATTGGAGTTGTTCAATCCTCTCTTCGAAACAAGAACACTGCTCTTAAAATCTTAAATCCACTCCTCCCGATCCCGTCTTCCGCCTCTTCTTGACGATCTTATCGGTATTCTCCAACGCTTCTCTTGATCTTCTTCCTTATTTTTTCTCTTCTGAAGCTAGTAGTTCCTGTTATTGGTTTTCCGACGCAGCACGGAATGGAGCAGTGCGTCGGTTTCTTCTCGTATGACTTCGATGAGAGAGAGAAAGAGGTTGCTGGAATCCTTTGCCAACTCCGCCAGCTTATCCTCGAAAAAGACTCATCTCAAAAAGGTCGGGACTCTCCTTTCTATGTTACACCCAATTGGGGTGCCAAGAGAAGGCGATCTGCAATCGACGTGAGCCCTTCTCCTCCTCATCCTTCTCTCTTCACTCACCCAACTCCTGCGCCTCTCCACCGTCCTTCGCACAATGGCGAGAGCCCATCCTTTAGGGTCGAGTCCCCGAGTCCTGCAACTCCTCTTTCGTTCTCGCCCGGTGAGTCAGAAAAAAGGCCGCCGAAGCCCTTCAAAAGAAAATCCTCAAAGAAGAAGGTAACCAGTTCACGTTTTTGCTCTTGATGTCTTGTTTTGTTCGTGTTTTCTTTTTCCCCCTCTTCTTTAAGCTCGCGCAGACCTTTCTTTACTCAGAAGCTCTGTCCTGTTTTTCTTTTTCTTTTTCTTTTTTTTTTTTTTTTTTTTGTTTTCCCTTTTCTCTGGGTTATAAGTTGCTACATCTGATCTGGGTTTTCGTACTGCTTCGTGGGTTTGTCGATTTGGAAGGCTTAGGGTTTCCTTTGTTTTTATTTTTTATTTTTTTTTTGTGTGCCCCGTAATAACTTTTTTGTGTCTTGTTGCAGACGAGGGAAGAATTGCTTCACACTGTAGTCCTTCTATCAGAAAACCTAGAATTTCTAAAGCAGGTAAATCTCGGGTTCTTTATTGCGCAACATTCCTTTTGTTAAGCCTTTTCCCTGTATTTACAGTGTCAAATTGTCAATCTACTGCTATTCACACTTGTAATTTCTTTGATGATTGATGTGCTTAGGAGATTCCAAAGACGGTTGCTCACCACAATATGCTGCTTGACAAGAATTTGAAGTTAAAAGCAAGAAAATTAGAGGTATTTCTTTTATATAAAAGTTCTCCTTTTTATGTCAATATTTCTTTAATTTATGTGATGAATGTCCTTATTTATCACCTATTTTCTTTTTCTCTTGTCTTCTATAGCTCGAGAAGCTTCAAAGGAAGCGAGATGAGCCTAATCATTCCATCACAATAACCAGTTCCGATTCATCATTCAAAACAACTGAACGCTTAGCCTCCTCTCTCGCTTCAAAGGAAGAAGAAGACGACGACGACGACGACGAAGCAGAGGAAGAGGAAGAAGGGCAACTACCACATTCCCAAAAAATAGAAGAAAACCAATTACCTTGGCCACAAATAGAGGAAGAGGAACGACCCTTCACCGTTCATCAACCAAAACCGCTCTCTGATCCATCAACATCTGGATCTGAAATCTCCAGGTATTCGCAGCATCCGTGTGGCCGAATGCCACCTCTTATATCAACCAGAATTGGGTGGAGCATTTCCAAGAATTTAAGCCCAATTGGTATCGTCGATCTCAATTACCCGGCAGAGGAGGCACTAAGGTGGGACTTTATGAATTCCATTGAGCTAGACAGGGCAGCCGTCGCTGCTCTGGCTAGAAAGAAAAGGATTGAGATCAACAGGGCCAAAACCTCCATGGCCTCTCTAAAATCACGTTGCAAATGAAGATAGGTTTTGCTTCTTCTTTTCGCTCTTTCATATTCTTTATCAATCATACATACTGATAATTGCTTAAGCTTATAAAGAGAGCATGAGTCAGATGAGAGATTACCATTCTTAGTTTGAGGCTTCAAAAAAAAAAAAAAAAGAAAAGAAGAAATCTTCTTGGTTTTGTACTTTTGTTTCTGCTTTTCTTTTTTTTTCTTTTTTTTTATTTTTGGGAATGAGTCGTTGGAGAAGCTCTCAATTGTAATATAAAGAGGATTATCAGGCGGGGACTTTTCAGTTTTCTGTAGATAATGAATTTTGATATTTGATTGAAAATTTATTTTGGATTTTCTTGTCTGATTTTGAGTTTGAAATTTTTAGTTCGGCCTTTCTGTCTTTACCCTTGAGGCCTTCCGAAGTAGAGGTGTGAATGGACTGGGACACTGGGTTTGGGTGGGTTAATCCGTCTGAATCAAAACGAATTTGAAGGATTGGACGGATCAATGAGGCGTATTCAATTGGTCCAGTCCCGACCAACTTAATGGTTTAGAACTTTAGATTGGATTGGGTCAGATTGAACTAATATCTGGTCCATTAACATAAAATAGAGTACAGGTGTCAACGTTTTGGACAGTCCAGACTCTAGACATTAAATTGAACCAGTCCAACATGGTCCAAAAACATTCATCGGATTTGATTGGACCTGATTCATCTGTAATGAACTCGTATTGGACCGGGTTGAATTGGACCAATATCCGGTCCATTGACAGCTCTATTTGGAATGAGACTTGTATTGTCGTGAAATTCTTCACCCATAACAATGTATGTCCCTTTTAAAATGTTTTTTTTTTTTAATTTATCTACTTTAAAGGGATTGGTTTTGCTTGTTGGATGGTCCAACTTGGTCAACTTCTGAACGAGGATTCATCTTTTGATTTAACAAATAAAGCCCTCAGAATGTGTACAAGGGGATACGCTAGTTGGCTTTTCTCCTCTGATCCTCTCTAGGAGCCCGTCCGTTTGGGATGGCTTCAGCTTTTGAGGCGAGTTGCGTTGATTGAGCCCATGATGGTTGAGTATCAGTTCGTTTTGTAGTTATTGATTTGCGGGCCTACTAAACTCAAGTTAGGGGTGTCAATGGATCAGTTTTGGGTTGGATCCCATTTAAATCAAAATCTATTTGGACAGATTGGACGGACCAATAAGATATATTGAATTTGGACAGACTGAATGGACCAATATGACATATTGGATTGGACCTGGTCTGTCCATAATGAATTTATATTGGATTGAGTATCTGGTTGAAGATAATAACATAGGTGTTGTCAATGGATCAGGCTTGAGTTGAAACCAATCTAAATTAAAGGAATTTGAACAGATTGGACAGTCTCTGGAATGGTCCAAAATATTTATTGGACTGGACTGGATCAGGTTCATTTCTAATGGACTTACATTGAACTGGACCGGTTTGGACCAAATCCATTCCAATTGACACCCCTAACTCAAGCTAATTAGTGAAAAGAATCTGAAGCGACCGTTACTGCATGTGGCCCCCAATGTAATGTGAACACACCATTCACGACCACCATTGTTAAGAAAAAAACTCAAGGTTGTGATGTTTTGTTCTTTCTATCAACTGCTAGCGTTTCCTTGTTTCATTGGAGGTCGCAGGACGTTCATATCAAAGGTGAACTCAACTATTTATGGAGTCAAGGGATTATGATTTATTCGAATTGGATCCATTGGATTTATGTTAGATTTGAATTGAATTCAGATTGCCATCAAATATGAATAGTTAAATAAATTAATTTAAAAATGAATAAAATATTATGTAATATAATAAAATGAACCAAAATAACTTTTAATATTATATTTTATGAAATAAAATTAATTAAAAATAGTTATGAATCTATGAAAATTTAGTACAAACCCAACATTCAAATCAACATTGTTAATATATACAATATAACTTTTAAGTGTATAGGGATATACCATATTTAATCCAATTATAAAAAGATTGAATTTGGATCACCCTTAATAGGAATGGGATCAAATTCAAACTTGGATTTGGACAATCGCATTAACATTTGCAGCCCTATAGCTACAGGGTTTAGGTTAGATCCATGTGTTGTCTTATTGTTTTATGACAAAACCCCCCCAAAAAATATAGTTTTATCACGGGGTCCATTTTGCCCTTAGCAGACCCAACCAATTAAAGTTATGTTTTAATTCTCAATGCTACCATCCGAAAACTCGTTGACAGTCTTTTTTTTTTCGCTTAACACCAAGAGATCCACTAGAAATCAAACATAAATACAATCAGATGATCCTTGGAGACAGAGAGGGAAGAATTACAGTCCGCAATCTTTGCGTTGCGACACGATGAGCAAAGACATTAAAACTGTCTTCTAACAAAATGGACATTTTACAAGATGTTATTCCTGTCTTCATTAGACGGCAATCATGAATGGTGGAGCGAATACTGAGAGAGGAATAACATTTTAATGGTGGAGCGTTGAATAATGAAGACAGCAATCACTGTCAAATAGTCTCCACACATAGTGACAAACCTCCAGCCTTATTCCAACACCAGTCTACAAGAAAGTAAAAGTGCTGACGCCTCAACCAAAACTGAGCAATCCAGAGATACAATTCGAGCTCTTGCTCCAAAAATTTGCCCTGCCCTGGGTATAAATTGATAGCCACACAAGCAGCCAGTCAGGCAGAGCATTTCCCTCAACCACTGGGCCCTCATTCAAATACCCCGGTATCATGAATTGAACTCTCTCCAAAGCTCCCTACTTAAAAGCATCGGCCTCCACAATCACATCACCTTCAAAGATTAGATGACTCTGTTCCTTGCCTTCCAAATGCACCATCGGACTGTGGGTGGTAATTGCAATGTATCTTCTCATATCCTCTGCTCACTTAGTATTTATTACACGAGACAATCAGGGACCACAGCTATGCAATTCCATTTAGAGACTCCTATTCTACCATTCCATCCAAATTGCTCTGTCAAAGGGGGCATTGCCAGAACAAATGTTCTATATTTTCATCACAGCTGCAACCAAAACAGTAATTAGCAGGCACAGCATCATGTAACAGCTTCCAAATAAATAAAAAAGCTGAATCTCCGGGTAGGTGTGACACTTCCAATACTTGTTCCAATTGAGTACTTGCCCCAAGCTTGCCATGTAGAATTGCTCTGTTATTAGCAGCTTGTACACACTCTTGACTGAGAACCTCTCACAATGATGGTGTAACCAAATAACTTCATCATGATCACTCACCATCATGGGAATGGGAACAGCCAGAATATCCGTTGCTGTTTGATCACCGAACATATCTATGATCAAATGGGCATTCCATCCACCATCTTCTGTAAACGAAGTCACGAACAACAAAGACATTCTCCATCTGAACACCATCAGCCTGAGGCAACATAGAATTCCCAGAAGTAGGAAGCCAAGGATCCTCCCACAATCGAATTGATGCACCCTCACGTACAACCTATAAGTTATGTTTGATAAAAAACTCAGAGATTCCAAATTGACTCTCTGCTTCGGACTCTTTAAATTACTTATGCACTTGAAGAAGCTTCACTCTCCCAAACGAGCCCTTAATAAGGAAACCAATATGCATTGGATTCTTAAGATGTAGCCCAAACTTGGGATGGCCTCGAAGCGGATAGGCCCAACAACTTTATGCTATTAGGCATTGGGTAAAAGACGAATTAATATTAACTTAATTAGTACGGAAAGAGATGTTCAAACTTAAAAGGATTACATCTTAGGGTCCGTTTGGTTTGGAGTTGGAATTTGAATTTGAATCAAAATTGAAATAAAAATTCTTCAGAATCGGAATGGTTTATTCCCATAGTTTATTTGGTTCAGATAAGAATGGGAACGAAAATTGAAATCAGCAAGAATGAGATTTCATTCCTAAGGGAGGGGAAACGAATGGTCATTCCCTCAAATGGAGGAATACCATACCAACAAGAATAGGAATAGGATTCTGATTTTGCCCAACCAAACAGTTAGAATTGGAATAGCCCAAATTGATTCTGATTCTAGACCCCTATTCCTGCAAACCAAATGGGGCCTTCGTGATGATCTAAAAAACGAGACTATTACACTAGGAATAGAAGTAGGGGTGATCATTTTCACTCCGCTCTGAAAATTTCAGCCACGGACCTAGGTTTTGTGATCAGGCCCAATTCAGACGTAGGCCCGCATCAGGCCTTTCCCTCATACTTGAAGCCTAGCCCACACAAATTTACGTTATGTAATTTATAGATAATTCATACATATGTCTATATTGTATATTTTATATAAGTCTTATGATATGAGAACTATAATAAATATTATATAATGTATACAATAAATTATATATGCATATTAATGATATATAATTTAAAGATTACTATATTTTACAGGGATGACAATGAGTTGGGTTTTTAGAATCCAAACTCTTTTCACACATAAAAATGCAAGTCCCCCCAACTCTAACCTCTTTGCATTTGAGGGTGGGGTGGATTGGATATAAAATTTGCATCTAATTTCTTATTATTTCTAATTATACATAAGCAATAAATAAGAAGAATAACAAGAACAAGCTTCAATTTCTAATTGTTTGATTAAAACATGTAGAAAATATATAAACTATTAATTATTCTTTAGATAAAAATTAAAAAATATTATTAAATTCAACACCTAATACAAATATTGACATGCTTTCCAACAATATATGGGTTGTCATCCCTAATTGTTTACATTAAAAGGCATAAGTCTAGAATTAGGCCTGGGCCTGGCTTATGATTAAGCCCTGCAACCTAGGCCGGGCCGGGCCTGGGCCCAGGTCATATACCTTATCACAGGTGCAAAGTTCGGCCCTACCGTATAACCCCTACCCGATAACACCCAACCATTCACTGACCGGACACGTCGAATCAGCTAATGTATGAGCTGCACCGTTAATCTTTCTACCCGCATGATAATGTGATAAGACATCAACCAATATTATTTATTTTATAAAAGTGGTAATCAAGAGGATCCCATTATCAATACTTATGAAAAACTTCGTTGCCACTAAAATCGGAATGGCAACGGGGTGGGTTTGGGGAGGGGCCCCTCCCCGTCCCCGCCCCGAAGTCACAATACGNGTTTGGGGTGGGGCATTCCCTCCCCGTTTTCGCCCCGAAGTCATGATATCTTGTTTAGTATTCGCTCTGTCCCCGATGGTAGGGTGGGTTCGGGGCAGGGCATCCATTTTCTATCGGAGATGAAAAATCCCTGAATTTTTCTTATTTCAAGGAAATTATTTAAAAAAATATTTATTTTATGGACAATTTATACATAGGATATAGGAATTTGGGATATTTTAAAATTGAATTATAATATTTTAGGGTAATTCAAAAATAAAATTATCGGATCCTAAGATTTTAAAAATTTAGGGAAAACTTAGAGATATTTTAAATATCAATATTAAACTTAAATACATTTTACTAATTTACCTTCGGGTTCAGACAAGTTCAGGAAATTATATATAAAACCCACCCCTGTCCTGTATCCGATTCGGGGAAAAATTATTTTCTCCATCCCCACCCATCCTTGTTTATCCCTACACTAAAACCTGTTCGTGACTGGGCTTGGGCTCAAGTTTTGCCAAAATTTAAATATGCCCAAGGCCGAAGCAATGTAAAGCCATCCCTGATACTGATGCGCTGCCCATCAACTAGTCTAATTGTCTGCTTATGGGTATGGGCTCGGGGAACCCATTATGTAGTCCCATGAAACCCAAGAAAAATGCTGATGGTGATCATCAAATTTCACCGAGGATGGGGGGCTCAAAGTTCTTTCAATATCATCCTTGACCATTGATAATTAATCACTGCCTTCGGTTTGGAATGTTACAACGAACCATCTCCAATTCCAAGTAACTAAACAAGAGTTCCCTTCGGGCCAAGAGATGGAGGGAAAGCCATCCCCCGGAACACGGTGGAGATTTTTTTCACGCAGATAATTTCGGTATATCAACTCCAAAGCCCAACTGCCCAAGCGTGGATGATGGTACCGTAACGCACACGTGAAGTAACCCTACTACGGTACTGGTTAAAATACTACCCTAGTTCCGGTTCCAACGCCAGCTGTGACAGTGTGAGTGTGTGACTAGGGGAGTGCAGTGATTGGGAGTGCAGGAAACCCACTGTCGAAAATTGTGGTTTTCCGTTTATGAGTTTATCTTTATCTAACCACGCCTATAAAGGGCGAGCCAATTCCAGCTTCAGGGAGATTCCCCAGTTGGGTTATATATCTTCCCGTACTCGGGACGATCCCAGCAGACCTCTCATGTGCCCTGTGCCATTCATTCTCTCTCTCTCTCTCTCAAGCCGTGTCTGTGATTTCTCTTAATCTAGGTTAGAAATCCAGTCAATAGATTGTTTTTAAGGTTTTTCTTTTGTTTGGTATCAGTCGTACCCATGATAGGAAGGCATGCGATGACGAAGATCATCTTGGATAATTAGAAGTTTGCTCTGTAAGCAAGCGGTGTTGTTCATCTTCCATGACTCTGATGCATGCCTTCCCCCTCCCTTTTCTTTCTCTCTCAACCCTTTTTTTCTTTCGATTTCTTGGCTTTTTTTTTTTATACTCTTCGTTTTTTTGGTAGAATTTGTGTTCTTATTCGATTAACTCTATCTTCTTAACGAAAAGAAATAGGAACTTGTTTTCTGCAAGTCTGCAACGCAGTTACAAGATTAACTCACAGGAACTTTTCTGTACTTTCCATTTTCCTCTTTTCGCTTGATCATGATTATTTCTCTACCTGTGCGGTTCTTACGATGGATAAGGATAAGGGGCATTTTGGGTATCTCGGTCTTCCTAAAGATTGCCGATTTGCCGTGGGCTTAGGCGCTCCTCTAAATCTGTAATCGTGGTCTCCATCGTAGATCAGGCAGAAATGGAGCTCCTGTGAAATCGTTTTGTTTTAGTTCTGAATTGCCTTATAAGTTTCAAGTTTCAACCCACAATGCCTTGATCTAAAACAGTAACAGAGATGCCTCCAGATCGTAAACAAATGAGAAGAGAAGTATCAATCATGAACTTATTTCTCGAATTTTTTAAATGAAAGTCGTTCCATTTTTGTTTAAGTGGTTTATAAATCTGGTAACAATCTCGAAGTAATTTACCCTTATTTTATTCCTAAACATAACTGAGATTTCAGAAATTTGACCTAAACATAGAAACGTAACAATGCAAAGTGTAAACAAATTAGTCAGTCTGGGTGATGGTATTTTAGCAAATTCTGACTCGCCTTGACAGATGGAAATCCAAAGCCAAACTAGAGCAAATCGATCCGGAATTCCGGATTGACAATTGACAAATAAATTACAATGCTTGTTCAGTATTTTTATTTCCCCGTGGAATGCTTGTTTGAATTCAACTTACAGATTCGTGCAAATAAAAGAGGATGTGAAACTTTCGAGTCGTTTGGTAAGTCTATATTAATAGATGTTCTGGAAGATTTTACAGCAAAAAATGTGGGGTTTTATATAAATATCTCGATAGTCCGCAAACCAAAAGTATTTTTCAATCAGAAGTTTTATTTTTTGCTTTCTGAAATAAGTTCAAATTGAGTTTTTTTTGCGTCATTTTAGGGTGGAGATTTTCAACGATTAGATCTTCTCTAATTAAATGGGATAAAGGCAAAAATACAGACTACTATCGGGTTTTTAAAACGGTTGGTGGAAAGATGAACCAAACGAGGTTTTATCAACAAAATCATTTGAGTTTGAACTTTAATGCATCTTCGGGAGGAGTTACATTTGCTCGGCATCCACCTGAATGTCTATGATACGAGAAAGATATGATATGGAACGAGTTTTGACCAATTAAATTCACCCATGAATTTTGATAAATGACACCTGATTTGCTATTAAGTTTATGATTTTAATTTATTGGTCAATTGTTTTTCAGAAATCATATCTTTTCCATATCATAATTGAACCTTTTTAAATTATCAAGAATAGGGGTATAAATGAATCGAATTTGAATTGAATATAATGGATATTGAAAATTAATATTCAAAAATATTTTATATATCATATATAATAATTAAATAATCAGTCAAATTTGAATTTTTATTGAATTGAATTAAATCATATACGAATTTGAATCTAAATATCCGAAGTTGAATCAATTATATCGAATCTTGAATTCAAAATAAAATTTTTAAATATCATTGCTACATAAAATCATATTCTTTTTTGTGTTTATTGGAAGAAATAAATTTCAAGAATAAGAACTTTGAATATTTTCACTATGATGTCTTCACCACCAACACCTCTGTTCCAATGGATTAAAAAAAGGAAAGAAAAAACTATACTGGATTAAATCTACATACCTTTGAAAAAGTTAATTAAAAATTTCAAATGGAATCAATTGCGATGTTTTTACTGGAATTCGAATTGTCTCCCCATAGAGCGTGAGTCAACACATCATCCCATGTATTTGCAACATCTACCCTTAACAAATATGGGAGATCTTCCAAATGCACGCCGGGGATGTGTCTGTGGGGAGACTGGATCTGCTCCTACCACCTGGCGCCTTACAAGCACATTCTATCATGCATTGGAAACAATTATTTGGTTGGACATAATAGAAATCCCATTCCCATTTATGTCTAAACCAAAGATTATAGAAATAGGCCATTCCAATTCTAAATTCAACTGCCAATCAAATGGATCCTAAGAAAAAGAACTCCACATATGTCCCCGTGGGTGCACTGGACGCATGAACCTGCGAATGAGAAAGTGACACGTCGACCAGGCCAACATTAACATCCGTTTGAGTGTTAACGTGGTCTGATCGGCTAAATTAGACGGTTCACGCGGAAACGAACCGGTCTGAGACAAAAGGGTCTCTTTCTTCCATTCTGTTTCCCTGAGAGCTCCTTCCACCGAAGCCTACCCATACACCAAACCCTTCCTCCATCAGCGGCGATAGAGCTCTCGCGGTTCATTGACGGCAACAAAAAGACCTCCGGCGGTGGCGTATTCTTCTTCTCCTCTTCTCTTCTTCTACTCTCCATACAGGTAACTCCAGTGGTAGGGCAAGCGATCATTCTTCTTCTTCTCCTCTTCTTCTCGTTGTTGGATTCTGACCACTGTGTTTGTGAGATCTGCAATCAGGGATTTAGAGAGACTAGAACCTTCAGATGCACTTGCACCGGCAGAAGGTGCCGTGGAAGCTACTCAAGAGGGAGACACTAGAGGTTCGAAAGAGAGTGTTTGTTTGCCCATAACCCAACTGCTTGCACCATGATCCTTGCCACGCACTCGGCTCCTTGCCACGCACTCGGAGATCTCGTCAGCATAAAGAAGCATTTCAGAAGAAAGCACAACAATCACAAGCAAGCAGTTGGGCGTGTGGCTGTGCAAAGAAAAAGAAGAAGACCTCTTCTCTGTGTTGCATAAAAGAACAAGAAGAGGAGGTTGTGCCTGAACGGTAAGGTCTCTGGTGTTTCCACTCCCTTGTCAACTGGAAGAAAAGCCGAACAGACTGCCACCGAGAACACTACGCCGTCTGAAACCCAAACTAGCACCTAGTGCTTCTAGTGTTTCGAATGGTAAGGTCTCTGGTGCAGAGGCCGCAAACCTTCTATTCCTCCTCCATTGTCGCCCCGAACTAGCGCCTAGAACTACCTGAATGGCAATGCCTCTGATGCAGAGGCAAACCCTCTATTCCTCCTCCATCATCGCCCATGAAAATGCGATGGCATGGACTTCGGCTTCTTCAGGCCATAATTTCTGGATGGATTTATAAATTAGGGCTTTAGCCTCTTCAGGGCTTCAAAAACCAAAAATCAAATTCCATAGAGAGAAGAATACATCGCCGCCAGAGGTTTCACTGCGGCCGTCGATCAATGGCCGGAACTCTAAGGGAAAAAAAATCGAAAAATTTTGTCTGTGTTCCAAATCGGTTCGTATATACACGAACCGGTTCATTTCCGCGTGAATCATCCGATTGAACCAACCAGACCACGTTGACGCTCAAACGGGCATTAACATTGGCTTGGTCGACGTATCGTTTTCTCATTCGCAGGTTCACGCGTCCAGTGCACCCACGGATGCACAGAACGCGGACTCCCATAACACATATGTAGGAGCATCGCTAGAATAGACTACATTTTGATTTTCCAAATTAGCAAGCCGGTCATTAGTCCTGGATGAGTTGTTTGCATCGCCAAGGCGGCTTATCCTTTTGGAGAAGATAGTCAATTGCCATCTTAGAGTCACCTTCAATCCATGCTATCTTTCGTGCTTTCATTGCTGCCCAACATTCTGCTACGATGATGGAGGAGATGTCAATCCGCCACGCTTTTGCCATTAGAACCTACCCTTTGTGAACTCTTGCTATACAACCCAAGGAACATGAGGCATTCGATTTTAGGGATGCATCAAAGTTTATTTTAATGGTTCCCTCTCTAGGAGGTGCCATTTAACCCTTTTATTTTATTGTTGGGAGCTATTACTTTGCTTTTGTGATTCACATTTATATAGTCCAATAGAACTTTGTTGTTAGGTCCACCATGTTTTCATCTTTATTTTGGTATATCTTAGGACATCTACATTTCCAAATGTACCAAAGTAGGACACATTTTTTTTTTCCAGTAAAGTAGCCATGTTTTGTGAAATTTTTTTCCTCTGCTCTGATCCACCATCTTATTATTGCTTCAGATCCATCCATCGGAACTTGGAGAGTTTTTAACTAAAATGTGATTAGGGTATGTTTAAGTCAAAATTTGAAACCTTAAGCTATTTTGAGTCTTTTAGCTTTTTTTTTGGTTGTGAAAACCATTGAAATTGAATTGGTCACAGGGATGACTACCCACAGGACACTATAGCCATGCACCTGTGCATGATGTGCAACTGTAATGTCATGTGGGTAGCGTTCTTGTGGGTAATAGATCCGTACACATAAACAATTCTGAATTTCCTATCATAATAACCTACCCACAAGACATTACAATCATGCATAACATCTGAGGCCCAGTTTTATATGGCAATCATAGAATAAGAAAAGTCACATGAATATTAAAAAAAGGGTAAATGTCTTAATGCCTTAAACCTATCCTGGGTAATACCTTAAAATCCAAGGTTTAAAAGTATTGTATACAGGTTTTTTATTGACCATTTTTTATTTGTACTTTTCTCAAACTGGCCTTATTTTTTACTGGGGCACAATTTTAATAAACAGGGCACGTCCATTATAAAAAGACAAAAAGAAACCCATAGTCACAAATCTATATCTATATTAGGGAGGCTAAGAATCCTCCTACCTAAATGCTCGTATGGACCTCCTAGATTTTAATTTTCTCTGGTAAAGGGGTGGGGAGAGTAAGGTTTATGTGAGGTCCACTAACTTTGGCTTGAGATCAAATCAGCCCCCCATAACATCGTACAGTATATCCCCACCGTGTATTTGGAACATCTCCTGATGATAATATCAGAATTGGTGATGTCATCATCAGGAGATGTTCCCAATACACGATGGGAATGTATTGTGGGACATTATGGGAGCAATCTTGTGGGGGGCTGATTTGAATTGGAGGGATGCCAAGTGAACTCAACTACTTTGGAGGTGTTAAAAATTTTGAATTATTATTAGTCCGCAGTTGAATTCAGAATTCTGTGGTGGAATGCAATCTACTTATCCCCCTTTTTGACACCAACATCTCAAGTACTCAACTACTTAATGTTTGTAACATCCTTCCTCCATTAAATCTCTCTACAAAAAAGCAATGGGGTTTAAGGGACAACCCAAGACCAACCCTAAACATGGACTCTAGGACAGACCCTTTTTTTATGCGGAAAGGCAATTCTTCATTGAAAATGCTCAAATTACAAGAAGCAGACACAAAGAACAAATAACAAAGAACCCAAGACTCATACCAATAAAATTGACAAAAACAAACCAAACCCAATTAGACACCACCAGTCCACAAAGATAGAAACAAACTAAGAAAGCTGAGCACCAGGAGTGTGATCGAGTAAGGCCTCTACAATCGGCATAAACAAAGAAACCACTAGTGGACGAAGGTCATAATTCTTCGACAGAAACCACAAAGCCACCGAAGGCTCCTGAAACAATGAAGCAACAACTCAAAACCTAATACACCTTCTAACAACCACAAAAGAAAAGAAAAAAATAAAATAAAATAAACCTAGACACACCAAGACCCTCGACAAAAAGAAAAAAAAATAAATTCAGATGAATGGGCTTGGGCCCATATCTACATTCTGCAGAGGAAAGACCAAGATTAGAGGTTGACCCAGCCCTACCATCAGCAAAGTTAGGAGAACTATGAAATTTGATATGGACCTGACTCTTGACGTTCAAATTACTTGGTCCATGGAGATTGTCATCACTTCGTTCAATATGCTATACCTTTATTAGTGCCTACCGCATTTTGACCTGTACATCACTTCCTTCTTAAGTTGATAAAAAAATTAAAAATTGATTGTCCGCGGCTTCTCCTCTTCCCATATCTATTAAAGTAACGTGGTCAGACTGGAGCCCGCTGTTTAGACACATAACTTTTTATTAATTCAAAAAATAGGATATTAAAAGTGGTTTTCTCACTATTAGAAAAAAGTGGAAACTCTACTTTTCACTTTAATTCTAAGGTTAACTCCACTCTCTAAAGAAGGGCATGGCTATTTGTTGAATAGAAAAACTACCCACTTAAGTATTAGTGAATCTCAAAGCAATAAAATGGACTATTAATTACAATTTACAAATAAAATCTGATTTAATCTTTTAAATCAATAAAAAACTTGGCCATACTAAGTACGGTTGTCAAACAAAATAGATCAAATTAATTGTCCTATACACGACTACTTATAAAGAAAAAGCATTCACCTCAAAATATGTAGGGCCATAATCCTTTTAATTTAATTTTTTTAATTTAAATAATAAATAACTCTCGAAGGTGTAGGTTCCATTTTTTGGTATGAGATAGGCTGTCAATTACAAAATAAATGTTAAATAACAAACTTAAATTAGATATTCTAAATAAATAATAAATTTCAAACAAAATTATCTTGACCTGGCTGTTCGAACCATCATTCAGCTAGGATTCTAGGTTCAATTTAGTCTTACCAGATGGTAAAAAACCGTTGACTTGGTTAATAACCATTTGACTCAATCAGTTCGACCATTGACCCATTCAACCTGGTGACCGGGTCGCGGGTTGCACACTCAATACATAGAAACTTTCGGAGGCCCTAACTTTGCACTTCAATGTCCAATTGGGGTGATTTTTTTTTATTTTGGGTAATTTTTTGAGATCTATGTGTCCCAAGGCACCAACTTGCATTTTTTATATTTTTATGAATAAAAAATTAAAAATATAAATTAAATATAAAATAATACATATATATATATATATATATATGCAAAGACATTGCACGATCTGTACTGTTTGACTCAGCCAGTCAAACCGGTGACCCGAAATCTAGAGGCCATAACTTTGCACTCCGATGTCCAATTGGGTATTTTTTTTCGAGATATATGTATCCCAAGGCGCCGACCTCGCTATTTTCACGAAACCCCCTTTTTTGGCCTCAATTTGCAATTTTAATATTTTTTATAAATAAAAAAATAAAAACATAAATTAAATATAAAATAATACATATAATGTATCTAAAACATATTTACACACACACACACACACACATACACACACATATATATATATGCAATGACATGGTATGATCTGAATTGTTTAACCCGGCTGGTCGAACCAGTGACCCACGACCTGGAGGAAAAAACGGTTCGGCCTCTAGGTCGGTTTTTAAAACATTGGGTGTAGTAGCCCACAGTGTGTCAAAAAAAATTGATCAAAACATATGAACAAAAAATATCAAAATACTAGCCCCATACTTGGCATAGAGATCCTTCTCTAGTGATCCACGAAAAGATTCTAGTTATAATGAATGATGGGTTAATTCTCATGACTTTAGTGGAACCCATAAGTCACATTACAAGTTGAATGCAAATCCTTTTGAATAGAATCAAATATATATATATATATATATATATAGTAAGATGGATCACTTCACCTTGCTTCTCCTTGCTCCATTTCCCCAATCATACATTTTCCTTTACTCTCTCTCTCCTCTCCCCCTTCCCACCACTCCCAAATTGTAATTAGCACCCCCTTTCTTCATTCCTCTCCATTTTCTTCTCTCTATCTCCCCCCACAATTCACATCTCTTACTTTCTCTAACAACTTAAACTTTTCTCCTTGATTAGCTCAATATATGTTTTATCCTCTCCTTCACTTCTATCTCTAATTCCCCTATATTCTCTCCACTTTCCCATAAAAATAGGGCTATAATTTATTAAGATTTGGCTTTCCAAATCAAGGAAAGAGAGGGGGATAAGGGGAGTTCGTTTCCTATATAGTCATGGAATATTCCATTATTGTTAAATAGTCCATTAGTTATGAAAATTATTAAAAATTTATGGAAAATATCTTACCAAAATTATGAAATAACTATTTCAGATATAATCCATTATTTAATAAATATTAAATAATTTAATAATCTACCAAAAATTAATAAACAATCCATTATTTAATAATTTTTGTTATTAATAACTGTTCAAATTTTCAATGTTTAGTGTAATTTACATTAATCATTGTAATTTACTAAATTTTCATTAAATTCTTACAATAATAATTTATTGATAAAACATATTACTAATTAGCATAATTTACTAATAATTTTAGTTAACAATTATTAAATAATTTAGGGAAACTCATTAACTAATAACCCATAATTATTTTTTAAATAAGCAATTAAAAAAATTAAGAAATTAATCTATGAAAAAAATATTATCTAAAACTATTTAAATAATAATCCATTATTATTATTCAACTAAATAATTATTAAAAATTTAGGAAAATTAAATTGGGAAATTAATCTATTAGAAATTATTTCATAATTATTTAAATTACAATCCATTATTATTATTTCAATAAATAATTATTAAATAATTTAGAAAAAATTATTAACTCTATCCTCACCGGTCTATACCACTTGGTTGACTTCGATCATACCTGATTTTACATTAATTAACAACAAATGGTTTATTTTTAATTAAAAATAATAGAATTTACCATAATTACATTTACTTTGATTAATAGAATTAGTTTACGCTTAAAAAGTAAATAATTTATTGTTAGTGTAAATAATTAATTTACTATACATTACTACTAATCAATAGTAATTTCAATAATTTTTTGGAAAGTATCATAAAATATTATAATGTATTGTTATTTAATTTACTGTTAGTTAACTAGTTATAGAAAATTATTATAACTGTAGGATGGCAATTTTCCTTGTAAAACTGGGGCCCTACCCTGCCCTGCCCCAAATTGGGCAATTTTTCTCAAATCTTAAATAGGGATGGGGCAAAGGCAAGGTCGGGACAGGGAAAGTATTTGTGCCCCAAATTAGGAATGGGGTTTGCATATAATTCCCCAAAACTAATGGTAAATTAGTAAAATATCCGTAGGTTTAATATTGATTTTTAAAATTTCCTCATATTCTTATATTCGTTGGGTCCCATAATTTCATTTATAAAATACCCTCAAATTATTGTAATCCAATTCTTAAAATACCCCTA